ATTTTTGGGGTCAATTTGGGAGGATTTTTGGGGTCAATCCGGGAGGATTTTTGGAGTCAATCCCCAGGATTTTTAGGGTCAATCCCCAGGATTTTTGGGGTCAATCTGGGAGGATTTTTAGGGTCAATCTGGGGGGATTTTGGGGTCAATCTGGGAGGATTTTTGGGGTCAATCCCGGGATTTTTGGGGTCAATTTGGGAGGATTTTTGGGGTCAATCCCCAGGATTTTTGGGGCGAATCCCCGGATTTTGGGGCTCACCAGCCACTTGTCGCGGGCGTAGATGACGGTGTTGAGCATGGACTCGTAGAAGAGGCAGTAGCCCATCCACTCGCTGATGATGATGTCCACCTTGGCCACCGGCAGCTCCACCTCCTCCACCTTGCCCTTGATGATGGAAACCACTGCAACGGGACAGGCCGGAGAGCCCGCAATTCCGCGTTGGGGCGACGGATCTTGGGGGGTCTGGGGGTTTTGGGGGGTTTTGGGGGGTTTTGGGGGTTTTGGGGATTTTTTGGGATTTTTTTGGGGATTATTTGGGGATTTTTTGGGGATTTTTTGGGGGTTTTTCTGGGATTTTTTGGGGTTTTTTGGGGGTTTTTTGGGATTTTTTGGGGGTTTTTTGGGATTTTTTTGGGGATTTTTCTGATTTTTTAAATGTTTTTTTAGAGGATTTTGGGGTTTTTTTGGGGATTTTTTGGGGGGATTTTTCTGATTTTTTAAAAAAAATTTTAGAGGATTTTGGGGGGTTTTGGGGGATTTTTTGGTTTTTTCTTTTGGGGATTTTTTTGATTTTTTAAATGTTTTTTTAGAGGATTTTGGGGATTTTTTAGGGATTTTTTTGGGGTTTTTTTTGGGATTTTTCTGATTTCTTAAAAAAATTTTTTAGAGGATTTTGGGGATTTTTTGAGGGTTTTTTTTAGGATTCTTTTGGGGATTTTTTAAGGGGTTTTTTTGGGATTTTTCCGATTTTTTCAAGAATTTTTTAGAGGATTTTTGGGATTTTTTGGGGATTTTTTGGGATTTTTTTGGGATTTTTCTGATTTTTTTAAAAAATTTTTTAGAGGATTTTGGGGATTTTTTGGAGACTTTTTGGGGGTTTTTTTTGGATTTTTTGGGGATTTTTCTGATTTTTTAAATAATTTTTTTAGAGGATTTTGGGGATTTTTTGGGGGTTTGTTTGGGGTTTTTTTTGGGATTTTTCTGATTTCTTAAAAAAATTTTTTAGAGGATTTTGGGGATTTTTGCGGGACTTTTTTTGGGATTTTTCCGATTTTTTTAAAAAATTTTTTAGAGGATTTTGGGGATTTTTTGGGGATTTTTTTGGGGTTTTTTTTGGGATTTTTCTGATTTTTTAAATGTTTTTTTAGAGGATTTTGGGGATTTTTTGGGGATTTTTTTGGGGTTTTTTTTGGGATTTTTCTGATTTCTTAAAAAAATTTTTTAGAGGATTTTGGGGATTTTTTGGGGGTTTTTTTGGGATTTTTCTGATTTTTTAAAAATTTTTTTAGAGGATTTTGGGGATTTTTTTGGGGATTATTTGGGGTTTTTTGGGGATTTTTGGGGATTTTTTGGGAGTTTTTTTGGGATTTTTCTGATTTTTTTAAAATTTTTTTAGAGGATTTTTTGGGGTTTTTTTGGGGATTTTTTGGGGATTTTTTTGGGATTTTTCTGATTTTTTAACAATTTTTT